TCGCCACAATTATGATACATATTAACATTATGACTGCTCTCTGTTGACAGGTTAGTGTGTTATGGGTGACAGTGTATGCTGGGTGAACATTTTTGCCAGTGTTATAATTTAATTTAATTTATTGTTGTGATTTGGTGGTTTGAGCAAGATTTGGTGAGATTAACTGTTTGGCCATTCATGTTGGAAATGCAGACAAAACGTCCCCATAAAGATAGCAATATCCGGAATCTTTGTCCTTGTGGGGACATTTTTTGGTGCCCATGAGGGAAACAGCTTATGAATCATTATTAATCATAAGTGATGTTTTTTGAAAATGTAAAAATGCAGAAAGTTTTCTGTGATGGGTAGGTTTAGGAGTAGGGTTAGTGTTAGGGATAGAATATACAGTTCATACAGTGTAAAAATCATTATGTATGTCCCCATAAAACATGAAAAACCAACATATGCGTGTGTGTTTGTGTAGATCAGCACCATCTATTGTATGGGATATCCATGCTGAACCCAGAGTCCTAAGGAAATGCTTTATACCGTTCCCTGATATTTACTGATTAGGTTAGGGTTTTTTTTTTCTCACCAAAAGAAAAAAAAAATCTTCATTTCTACCTTCTCTCTGCCTCTTAGAAGCCTTGAATGGATATCAGGCTCATTCCTTCAGAAGGAAATGCAGAGCAATGGATGCTGAGTCAGGAGCTTCAAAATATTTAACAGTCATGACCACATTTTATCATGAGTGCATCTGGTTTTTAGAAATAATATTATATATCCTGTAATTGGGGAAGCCATGGTTCTGAACACCTAATAAGTGTCTTAGATCTATAAATATGTGTTGCATTGACATTAATCAGAATGAATACCTTTAAAATCTGATATGTGTACCTGTAAAAGGTCCTTAACATTAATAATTGCAACATTAATAATTGCATCACAGTTATTGCTTGGTTGATCCTAACATAAGATAACTCAAGAAAAAAGATGTCTTAGAAGCATCATAACTACATTTCAATGATAGGAATTGCTGCTATTAAAAGTATGTTTCCATATTACTCAAACTCTTTCACAAAAGATTGAGAAAATTTTGAGTCCTTTAAAGATACATGGAAGAGCAGCTCTAAAAGAATGATAATGTTCAAGTAATATATTAATTCAATGCCAGAGGAGCACAGAATAACAAAATGTAGTTTAAACTATGACAAAAAGCAGAAGAATGTAATTCAATGCATGAATTGCTGACAAAAAAAGGAGATTTTCAAAAGGGCTTCATCTCATCTCTTCGTGTCTTACTATGCGTATAGCAATGTAAGGGGAAGAGGTTTTTTTTGCAGTTCCTGTTGGGGATTTTCAGATCTGGCAGACAAATGCAATCTCTGCAGAAATGACTGTTAAAGAGAAAGATGGATTTCCCGCTGCTACGCACATATGACATATCATTATCCGACATCATCCAGAAGCTTGGAGGAATGGAAGAATATAAATGAAATGAGAGTTGATGCAAAGAGAAATAAAGAAATAGCTTTTATCATAGAGTGAGAGACAACGTAGAAAGGAGAGAACATTGTCTTTTCAACATAGGTCAAGTTTATATTAGAGAATTTTGTTTCAAAGCGTTTTTTCACGCTTTTTTATGGTTTGAGGGGAATGGAAATCAGCGGAAGGAAGGAAACTTACACAATGGCAAATTTTCGTTTCACACAGCTCACTTGCTTCCAGAAGGGTCTGCAATTAACAGAGGAAATAAATAAATAACATTGATGTTTGTTCAAAGTTCAAGTTTCAGGCTTCTAATTTGCTCTATTTATTTTAATTTCCATGGGCCCTATCATGGCACAATGCGGCGTCAGGCGCGACACAAGTGTTTTGTGCTAGTTTCATGTTCACGTCCATGTTGTTTAAAAAGCAAATGCTTTTGCGCCCATTTTGCTATTTTGAGGCAACTGAAATAGACCAACTAAAACCTGGTCTAAAGTCAATGGCGCAGTATGTTTTTTGTTATTTAAAGAGCGCATTAGTAATGTGCGCCTATAGGCGGGTCCACAACACAACACCTTTGTCCCGTAGATGGTCTGCTTGCACGCTTTAACCTCGCGCACGAGCAGATCCATTTCCTCTCTGGAGAAGCGTTAAATTTTTCCGCTTGCAAATCCGGCCATGTAAATAGCGAATCCGCCATGGCGTGAACGCAACTGGCTTTTAAAGGGAATGGGAGATGAGACACTGAGATTGTTTTTTTCGCACGTTAAGCCCAAAACACACCCATTACTCATTAAGAGAATAGGGACAACCGTTTTAGACCATGCGCCGGGAGCGACGACCATTTTTTCCATAGTTAAACTAGCAAAAGTGGATTCGGACACGACCTAACTGCACTTGAACCCTGCGCTTTAGACCATGCGCTTAGATCGTTAAAATAGGGCCCTATGTGTACTTGAATTTTAAAGCAATAATCTGAAAGAAAGAAAAAATAGGGGGAATTATTATTAAAGAATCAGAATGTATGGCTTTGTGAACAGATACAGCAGCCAAATTATGAAATATCAGGAAGTTGTTTTTCTTATCACCTGCAGAGCTTAAGAAGTCTCATCTAGACAGCAAACAGACTGACAAATGGATTTTTACATAATCCGACTCACACACTCTGCAATCTTTAGGCTAAAGGTTGAATAAATTCCATGAAAACACAAACATCTTGTTAAGCTTGATGTTGTTTAACCTTTGACCACACACACACACACAGAGACACACATTTGGTGCGGCAGTACAGCTGTGTATCTTAAGATCCTCAATTAGCCTTAACGACCTATGCGTTAAGTTAATTAACCCTGTTTTACCTCAGCACGCTGACTCTGGGTCAGTTTAAATCACAGCTTTGACTCACTGCCAATCAGAACTCTCGGGTCTGGAGCAGGAAGCAGATTCCCTGTAGACCAGCTTCACATATAGACAGGTTAATCTGTGGGCTTCACAGAGGGCCAGAAGTGGCCCTAACTGAAGCTTAGAAATGCTTTAAAGTTGGGTTTTTGATTCATATTATTTTACTTTGTTTAGGTTTGCTTGAAATTGCTTAAATTAAGCAAAAAAATGACAAGATGCCATATTATATCTTGAATGATTTTCATGGAACTATCCAATCGCCAAGTGTACTTCATGACATAATTGAATATATCTATCTATCTATCTATCTATCTATCTATCTATCTATCTATCTATCTATCTATCTATCTATCTATCTATCTATCTATCTATCTATCTATCTATCTATCTATCTATCTATCTATCTATCTATCATCTATCAATAAATAAATAAATAAGATGCTTCGCACTGCAATCAAATTTTCATCTCCAGCACACACTGACAAAGAAAGGGAAGGAATTATCGATTGTTGCTCTTTGCTTCACTCTCCTCTTTCTCACGTTTTACTGAGAAATAGTAAAAACTGTTGTAAAAAAGTAAACAATCTCAACAATTTCTCATTTTACAGTTTTTCTCAGTCACTTTGGTACATTTCTCAGATCAGAATTGAAATTCTCAAAACTACCGTTCAATCGTCACACCATTGTGTCACTTGTGCACATCAAAAAAGCAGTTTCTCATTTCTTTGAACAAGTTGCAAATGCTTTGGTACATCCATGCAAAAATGATTATGTACAATTATCTGCTGTTTACTATATTATCAATAGCTTATGTTATGTTGATCAAAATATATTATAATGGGTCTCTGTTGAATAGTTTAGGCCCCACAACATTTAGGCAGTAGTTCATAGCATACGTCTTTACATGCAAAATGGTTGAACAAGTTGTCATAATATGTCAAGCATATTTATATACATTTCCATTAGACTTTTTTTTCTAAATCTGTCCTGTTCACTTTTTTTCTTTGTTTTCTCTCCTTTTCTTTTCTTTTCTGTATCGCAATGACATGGTCTGTCAACAAATTACAGTACAAACAGTAAAAGCGTAAATGTGAATCTTGTCCAGTCTCTTGCAATCAAACTCCCACATACACTAAGGTGTGTAACCTACAATTTACAATAATTGTCATCAAAACATTATCCATAGTTTACATCAGAACATCCCTCCTGAGTACACTGTTATATTGACAACATGACTAAGCAATTTGACTGTCTTATCCGTACACAATGACACAAGGACTTGTCATTCTGATGGCACTGACATGTTCATTGACACAGGTATTTACTTTTGAGAGATGAACTAAGGAGTTTGAGCAAGAGACTGGCTTTTGCAGGTAATCCATGGTGTTTTGCTATTTGTACGAATTGTTTTGAGAAATGCACTTACTGCTTTGCAAATGTTGAGGACGCTTCGATAAATGTACCAAAGCGACTGAGAAAAAGTGTAATATGAAATCAAACATTTCTCATCAAATTCAAATTATTTGAGCTATATGCTGCCCACGTTACATTACTCTTATTGCATGTCTACAATTGTCTCATTTGACTGTATTTTTTTTGGAATTTTAAGATAATTATGTATAAAAGTTGATGCCTAAGCATAACTGAGAACCCCATTATAACTAAAAAAAATCGGAAAAAATAGGGCACAACGGTCGGCACTGATATATAGCGCCATTGTGCTTCGAGAGACCCGAGTTCGAATCTCGGCTTGTGGACCTTTCCCGATACGTCCCCAGTCGCTTCCTGTCCTCTTTATACTATCCTATCACAAAAAAAGGCAAACTTTATTTTAAACTTTATTTTTTAAAATTTTTGTATTAATTTGACTAAATTTCCCGTGTTTAACCTTTACAGGTGTTTTACCTGTATTTTGAATTTTGAACTTCATTGCGTTGTTTTAGTGTTAATGGAAATGTCCGTAAAATTACTGGATAATGTCCGGGTAATAATTTGCCAGTACTTTTACTGTTTTTATTTTATTTTTTTACAGTGTATGAAAAAACAACCTGAATAAGTCCGAAAACTGCTATGGTGATTTTCCGCAACGTTCCCCTCTGAACCCTTCTTCTATCTCTGGTTATGTCCTGCAGGTCAACTGGCAGCAGGCACCTGTGAGATTGTTACTCTAGACAGAGACAGCAGTCAGCCACGCAGAACTATTGCCAGACAGACGGCCCGCTGCGCATGTAAGAAAGGACAGATTGCTGGGACAACGAGAGCCAGGCCGGCCTGCGTAGATGGTAAGATCATATTTGAGGATCTATTATTCAAAGCACTGTACTACCCTTAAAACTATTACATACCAGTCTCTTTTTTTTAGCAAACCTCTAAAAAAATGACCATGATGTGTATGGTAGGCTGTAATTTCTGCCAGATATTCTCTTATGTATTATAATCATATACAATAAGATAAGATGATTGTGTAATAAATGTTTCTAATAAGTTTCTTGTAAAAGACCAAGAGCATAAATGCAAAGCCATCCCACTGTAGATGAAACAGCCTAAGATATAAAGGCATTGGACAAAACCGCCTTGGGCATCAAAGAATCGGATAAAACGGCATCAGACAAAACTTAAGAAACGTGTCATTCATTATCCATCCAGTGTGTTTCCCTGCCTGCAGCCTGAAATGCTGGGATAAGCTCCAGCCTTCCTGTGACCCTACATAGGACAAGAGATTTGGAAAAATAAGTTTAATTTAAAAGTTTACAAGAAAAAGGCTCTGCAAAATACGGTACGCTGCTATAAACACCACTGGTGCCTGAAGCAGTGTATTTAATTATTACCAAAGGATAGAAGGATTTTTAGAGGTGGGAGTGTTTTTTTTTTTATCATTATTCTTATTATTATTATTTTATTTTTTTGTGTGATATTACTATTTATAATAATATAAGACAAAGAAGATGCATTCAAAAATGAAATTAATAAATGAAAATGACATTGTTGTTGGCATAAGAAGCACTGCACGTGTAACTTTTAATGAACCAAGAAAAATTGCTACTTTATAATATCTGTGGATTTATATCAGAAATTGAGGCACATTTGTTTGCATTTTATATAGTTATTATTCTGCTACTCTTCACACAGTTCTTCTAACCAATTTTCAGCCTGGCACTGCAGTTTATTTCACATTCAAAATGCACTAAAATATATACAATCATACAATGTTTGATTTCCAAAGCAAGAATGACATTCTCTACTGTTTATAATTCACTACAGTATATTTTACATAGTCTATGTTTATATTACAGTTCAAAATATATTACAGTTAAAAAAACAAACAGACTAACACTGTTGAATGACACTGCACTGTGAAGAGTTTCAAAACAGTGACCTAAAAATTGAGAATTTGGTATATATATATTGATATTAATATTCACTACTTAATTTGACACCTGTGCTGGTACAAAACATTTAAAATTGCAATTAAATATGGCAATAATATATTTAACAATTTATCCACCTCAATGTCTACGGTGGTCAAGGCCCTGGATTTTAGCAGTGTATTTTGTGGCAGCTTTTTCTTGTAAACTGTGCATCCTTTTAAATTAAACTCGTTATGAATTACATATTTCTGGTTCGACAGATGCCTCTGACACCTGACATTTTTTCCTGTGACCTGAAATCTTTTATAAAGTCTAAGGAAGTCCTAATACGTACACCATACATGTGACTTGTTGAGAAGACGTGCTATCACTTTTCGAATCGATCAGATGTATGTTTTTTGATAAAACAAACAATTCCATAGAATACACCCGTAGTTACATCCTAGAATCCAAGTCAAGTTCGTTTTAATGTTGTAGTGCTTTTCACAAAATACAGTATATTGTTCCAAAGCAGCTGTACAGCTGCAATGCTTCATAAGTTTGATTTTGTTCCAGATATAAGTGTACAAAAGCAGGACACAGTCCACCAGAGGGGAAGAGAAAGAGAGAGGTAAAAAAAAAAAAAGAGAGAGGTAGAAAAGAGACAAATGAAATTTCAATCAGTTTAATCTGCTGGAGTCCTCAAGGTCTCAGCACAATTGTCATATGTGATGAGACATGCTGTGTCCTTCAGTCTGTGGAGGTCAGTTCACCCACAGGATAATCCACAGAGCACAGACCCAAAATGCTTTACTCCTAGGGTTGGAAACTGAGGACCATTTCCTAAGGTCTGTTCATATAGAATGTCAGTATTTGGCACCAGCTTTCTGTGCAAAGGGAACCCTGTCCAATTCACACACTCAAAAAAATTATGTATTGCCTCAACAAGAACAACAAAAATCTACGCAACAGTGTGCATACATTTTTTTGAGTTATGACAGTGAGTGAATTTGAATTTGAGTGAATTTACGTACAACCAACAAGCTAAATTGAGTTAGAGGAACTTAATAATTTGTAGCATAAACACACCAGATTTGTAGCCCTGGAACCAATTAATCTTATCTATTTTAGTATATATATCAACAGCTATCATAGCACATTCTAACACAACTTATTTAACATGTATATTTAATGAACAAGTAAGATATTATTTGTCACTGGCATTAGCAACTCTGGTAGTTATAAGCGTCGCTTATAGACTCAATGTAGTGTTTACCTTCATGTATGAAGTTTGAAGTCATGTTGAAGTTTTCGTGGAGTAAGAGTAACTTCAGCACAATGGCAACCACGACAACTTCAACATTACATAAACTCTTTTAAATGTCAAACATAACAGCATTAAACACTAACAGGTCTTTCCCTTCACTAAAAACAAATCAATTAACACTTAATTTCAACGTTCATTATCCTTATCCAGTCCTATGCAAAGCATGCTGGGAACTGTAAATCCACTGCCTAATTTCCTAAGTTATCAAGACAATTTCATTAAAGCTGCAGTCCGCAGTTTTTCCTCTTTGTCGCCATCTCTGCTCGAAATCTGCCATTGCAGTTATTCGCGGAATGTACTTGGACACGGCACAGCGCGGATGAACACATTGAGGAGAGTGTGCAGCTGTCAGTCACCGCGCCAGTGTGGATACTGGCATTCAGAATCAAATTATTCTAAGTATGACCAACATAAGAATTTTCAATGGAAAATGTCATCTGAACAAGTAAGAAACATCCACCATTGTTCTGGTTCTGACATTGCAGTAAATCGCGCTGATTAAAGCTAACAATCGCTTATCATATCACGCAAAACCGTGCAAATTATACTTTGTTCTCAAATTGTTAATGTTAACAACGTGAGCATTGCGTGACTACTTGTAATGTCCTTCCGATATGTATCCTTGTTTTCGCATGGGTCCGGTTGCAGTCTCTTTTTTTCTGTAGCCACTCCGAAGTCCGAACGAAGTCTTTTGCATTTTACATCGGGTGAATCTGTTGTCACTGGTGATTGTCGTTTGAACCTTTCTGGATCCGCCATCAAATTGATAAGTTTAATTATATCAAGTGCTGTGAGAAAAGGCTATAAATCTCCACCTCCAGCATCCTCAAACGCAATATAGCCGACTAGCCGAGACTCCTTCTTTATGTGTATAGATGTGACGTAATGACGCAAAGACATGCTCGAATCTCCCGCGGAAATCCACCAGTACCATTAGAATTAACATTATTACAAGCTTACCGCTTTGAATCGAGCTAAGGCAAGCAGATAGTTTTGAACACTGGCTGGTTGTGTATTTTCTCAAATATGTATTTTGGATCATTTTTAACCCAAAAAAAGCTACGGACTGCAGCTTTAAATTACTAAAACCCCCCAAAAAGGTTTAAATTACAGAATATATTAAGTTGATGTAATGATCAACATTATAATGTGAAAAAAAAATATTTACAACTTAAACGGTTTAATTAAAATAATAAATTAGTGTGTGTGTGTTCTTCTAAAAAAAATGTCTCTGTATTTAATTTATTTTACTAGCCATCTCTCCCCTTTTGTTTGCTGTTTTGTGCTGAATTGTGAGCCGTCCAAAAAAAGTAACATGTCAAATTACATGTCAATTTTTTTGTAATCGACTCAGTGGTTATACAGTTAGAGGACACTGTCGCCATTGTTGACTTTCGTGTTGCATTAATGTGGACAACGTTATCAGTAATTTCACGCCTTCTGCTTCGTCGTCATGTGGAACAATGTGTCATTCTGGAAATAGTGAACTGTATTAATATGGAGAGAAAAGGAAAAAGAAATACGCTTTTGTTAACCTGAGCAGTGTGAAATGACATCACTCACGTGTAGTGTCATATATTTGTGCAGATCAAAGCTCTGACAAGAATTGTGATAGTGTGGAGGATTCTGGGAATCAGGGTTGTTTGCTGGAATGGAGACATGAAGTCATTCGCTTCTGAAATCACAATAACACGAATGAAAGCTAATGCTACATTATACATGATCCCTGTATGCTTTCAGTAGACTAAATAAATTAAAGCTGAAACACTGAAAGCATTACATGAAATTAGAAAGCTGATGACAGGATTAACCAGGGACATCAGATGAATGGAGGTGAACAGAAATGCATTCTGGGATTGTCTTGCTGTTGAAAAATATGTCAGATGCTGCAAATAACACAAAGCGACCAACACTGAATATACAACTTTAGTTCCCTTTCGTAGTCACTCCGAGTTACGTCGGATGACGGAGAATGGGGGTTTCGCCAGAAAGCCTATCATCTTCGAGTATTACAAAACGAGCCTATGGCAATGAAATGCCATGGGTCTGCGGAACTTGCATAATGTATCTCCGCCCCACCGCGTGGGTATTTAAGGAGAGACACCTGCAACAGCAGATCATGTTTTCGCTTCGGAGCCAAGAGCCATCTCTTCACTCCACAAGCCAAATCCTGAGTTTTCTCAGTGACTTCATCTCTTCGAGACGAGCGAACTCTCCGGTGTTGGTGTGACGGCGGTATCCAGCGAGTTTCACGTTGCCTGCGATCTGAGCAGTGGTCTGCCAGTCTGTGTGTTCTCCCTGGTCGCTGCAACATCCGCGGAGTTTTTCCTCTCACTAAAGAGCTGCACGCGGCACGTCTTTTTAAAGACGCGTCTTTCTAAAGACGATCTGCCCGTGTTTTTCTGAGTGTGGTATTCTGATAGCTGATGGGCGCGAGCGCTGTTTTGAGTGTTTGGGCTTTGATCGCGCTCAGACAGCGCTCGTGGGTGTGTCACGTTCTCTCACTGGGAACGTGACCATCGCACTGTAACGCTCGAGACTCGATGAGCTCAATGAGTGAGAGTCCCCTCATCCACACCCCGATCTATTTTTCTCCACGTGAGATAAT